CTGGCATTTGGGTCAGTCAGTGAATGTCAGAAGAGCAGGCACCACGCACAGTACTGCAGCCCAAGGCTGGAGTTTTACCAAAACTTACAGAGAAGTTCAGTATCAGGAAGGTGATCTTTCCTTTTTTAAGCCACAGTCACTTAATAAACCAGATTGGTTGCTCAGGCCGGTGTAAAGCACAAGAGTTGAGTTTCCAGAGCTGCCAACAAATCTCAAACCAACGGTTTATGATTTTGTGAAGAGTTACAAACGGGGAGAAAACTGCTGCCACTGCTCCTGTTCTGCTCAAGAACTGGCTTTCTAAGTACCAACTTTACGTAGAAAGCTAAAGAAGTACTAATCCTCTTAAAAGTGACAAGTGCCCATAAAGGGCACTACTTTTGGAAGTACCACATATAATTGACAAGTAATGAAAAAGCTTAAAATACATACAATACATTACAGGCAGAAAGCTAAGTATTTTGTCAACTAAAAATGAGAGATCCAAAGTTGGATCTAGCGTGCTAATGCTACTGCATTAAAGGTGCATTTGGGGCCAGCTAGACCATTGCTGTTGTTTATGTAACATCATAGGAAAAAAGGGCGTTGCACTGATAAATAGATCCTCATTCTGATCCCATGACAGTATAAATCACAATTAAGTCATGAATTTGCAATAGTTTGCAACTGATAGTAAAGCATGAGGTCTGAATCTGGCATGTGGACCACAAAGGAATGAACATACTGCGAGAGCCAAGATATGATCTGTCCAGCACATGTGCAAAAATGAGGACCAATGTGCAAGGTTAACTCTGTGCTGGCTAGTGCAAACTATACTTTTTGTGCCTGCCTAGTTTGGAGGTTTCAGAGGATGAGACAGTTCATGACTCTTGCCCATGAAGCACAGCATGGCAGTGACCCATGCCTGCACTGGGAGGCTGGACTGGGCATGGACTCCATTTCAGGGAGGAGACCAGATACAGCCATCTCTTCCTGTGCTCTTACAGAACAGTTTCATGGTAGGAACTGATGGCTGGAGTAGCAAAGCCCAAACCAACAGCAGCATTCAGGTGTCTTCTGGTGGGAATTGGGTACCTGAAGTTAGGCATTAGCTTGAGAAGAAAGACTGAAATGGTCGTAACGTCTTAGGTGGCAAAAACCTCAATCTGAGTCATGCTCCCTGCAGGTAGAAAACTACAGCCAGAAGGCACAGCCACAGGGCTGCTCTTCTTTCCAGAACAGCTAAATTCCCTCTCCACAACTATAACACTGCAATTACATGCTTTCATACCTGTGATAAAAACCACAACCTCCTTTGCTGCTCAGCAGAGAAATCGATGTCAAGAACTGCTACATACCAGAAAGTCAACTCTGCTTTCTGTGACTTGGAAAATGAGTGCAGCCCTGCCGTGCTGGGCCTGGCAGGAAATGATGGCCATGGTAATAACAGCCATCTGCACCACTGTTTGTACACCTACAAACTCCGTCCTCCTCTGAAAACATCTTCATCACCCCCATCACTGCAGTCAGTGGGGAATGGGAACTAAGCACTTTTTCTAAGACACTCTCCCCTTAATTCTTATACATTTTCAGTGCCATTAGATTCCTACTAGTAGCACTGCTGGAGGAGAAGTGTGGCAGGTCCACTGCCAGGTGTGTCCTTGACATGACAAGTAGCACAGGTCCTGAGTCCACAGGACAGATTAAGGTTTATCTCTAATTAAATGGCTCACCAAGTAAGCTTTAATAGGATGAAGGAGCCAGGAAGAATCAGAGGTTTTGCTGGGCAGATGCTTCAGTCTAGCGCTACACAAATGCACCGCACTTGTTTTTGTTTAAATGGGTGCAAACGACACTCCTTCCCACCGGTATCATGACCCTAGTTTTAGCACAGTAAATTTTCATTAGAAACACTGATTTTACACTCTCAGAACTTTTGAAACAATTACTTTTCAGTAGAAGTTTACACTTAACAGAGACAAGAATTGACTGTGGAGAAGTAAGCGAAGTACTGAAAGCAGCAAAGACTTTCAAGTGTAGTCAATTGTGAAAGCAGTTGACGTTTCACTCTCATAGTATACTATGTTGGTGTGGAAACCCATAAACATTTTATCATTGTATAATGAGATTTTCAGATCTGAAAATTTCATAGAGAAATGTGACGTGATCATTTTTGGAAGAGACAGATTTAGTGTGGTTTTTTCCACGTTTTCCCAATTGCGCTTTTCAAAACTAACATCATTAATTTTGCCTTACAACACTTGCAATAACTGAGTTTAAATCCCATACATAAGGAATACCCTGGAGGATTTCAAATGATGGGTCAGAGGGATGTGAACCATACCTTGTAGACATCTACAAGCTGAGTACACGGGTCTTGAAAACATCTTTTATGAGTTTGTATGTTTACCCCCAAGAATAGTTCTGTTACAAGTCATAGGTTGGGGAGAAATGAGTGAAGAAGTTGGAAAAACAGAATAAAGTCCAACTCCTAAACGTGAACAACAGCAGAGGTACTCTGTAACCTTGAGCTTCCTTTCGCTTTTGCTTCTATTCTCTTTGAAAGGAAACACTAAAAGAAGTTTCATTTCCTTCAAACAAGGTAGGACCTCCCTAAGCATCTGGAATGGAAATTCACACAAACTTTCTTCAGCAGGCAGGATCCTCAGGGATCAGTGTTGGGACCAGTCTTGTTCAACATCTTCGTTGCTGACATGGACAGCAAGTTTGCCAATGACACCAAGCTGTGTGGTTCGGTTGATATGCTGGAGGGAAGGAATGCCATCCAGAGGGACCTCAACAGGCTTGTGAGGTGGGCTGATGCCAACCTCCTGAAGTTTAACCATGCCAAGTGCAAGGTCCTGCACCTGGGTCAGAGCAATCCCAGGCACAGCTACAGGTTGGGCAGAGAAGAGATTCAGAGCAGCCCTGAGGAGAAGGACTTGGGAGTGTTGGTTGATGAGAAAATGAACATGAGCCGGCTTCAGTGTGTGCTCACAGCCCAGAAAGCCAACCGTATCCTGGGCTGCATCAAAAGGAGCGTGACCAGCAGGTTGAAGGAGGTGATCCTGCCCCTCTACTCTGCTCTTGTGAGACCTCACCTGGAGTATTGTGTGCAGTTCTGGTGTCCTCAACATAAAAAGGACATGGAACTGTTGGAACAAGTCCAGAGAAGGGCCACGAGGATGATCAGGGGACTGGAGCACCTCCCACATGAAGACAGGCTGAGAAAGTTGGGGCTGTTCAGCCTGGAAAAGAGAAGGCTGTGTGGAGACCTCATAGCAGCCTTCCAGTATCTGAAGGGGGCCTATGGGGGTGCTGGAGAGGGACTCTTCATTAGGGACTGTAGTGATAGGACAAGGGGTAACGGGTTAAAACTTAAACAGGGGAAGTTTAGATTGGATATAAGGAGGAAATCCTTTCCTGTTAAGGTGGTGAGGCACTGGAATGGGTTGCCCAGGGAGGTTGTGAATGCTCCATCCCTGGCAGTGTTCAAGACCAGGCTGGACGAGGCCTTGGGTGATATGATTTAGTGTGAGGTGTTCCTGCCCATGGCAGGGGGCTTGGAATTTGGTGATCTTAAGGTCCATTCCAACTCTAACTATTCTATGATTCTGTGATTCTTCCCCCAAGTTAGTTACTGCCTTTTGACTCTTCACATGGCTCCCTCAGATGAAATTTATTTCTTAAGAATTTATGAACCATGATAAATAGAGTAGGATTTAGGATTTTGGGGGGGCTTTTTTTTGGGGGGGGGAAGTTTTTTGTTCTTCAGTGCACGTACTAAAATCTGTAGGAAACTCCTGTTCTGAAGTGGATGCAGAGAACTACTTTGCAATAAGTAAAAGTGAATAGCAGTCCCACTAGCCCTGCTTAGGAAGGGATTGGGATGCTACAAAACAGAAAGAGCACAAATTGCCACACTGGCTTTGCTGAGAAGTCCTTGGAGGAGATCATGAGCTCACTTTCAAGAAAACATTAATCTTCTCCATCTGACATGTGCTGGAATTACACAGATCTGAACTGTTTTGGCACACAGATTGAATGCTGAATAGAACCAGCCAAACTGCCTGCTGCCATGTTAAACAGGGATTCAGGGATTGTTTTGCTACGCTATGATGGAAGAAAAACCAATTTTCCTGTAAATGGTTGAATACAGTGCATTACATCTTCTGAAGATGTCCTTAATAGTCAGGAGAAATGGAAACATCTTTATTTTAATTTTCCCCTGTAATTATACTGAGAATTCCCACCTGCATCTTGGCACTCAGGTTATGGATGCTGGGCAGGAGCCAAAATTTCACACTGCCCTGCAGCAACAGCATAAAACTGAACTCAAGTCTCTGCACTGGGATTTGAGATCCCAGTTTTCCATGCCTACACTGTCAGCAGACCACACTGATGCTACCTCTAAGTCATTTTAAAGCATCTGCAGATAATTATGAAGTTGCTTACGATCCACAGTCTGTGTGAGGTGAAGGTGTCAAAACCCCAGGGAAACTTAATAGACACATTCCAAATCACTCATGTGCCTTTGGAAAACAACTATCTGGATTCAGCAGTTTGGAAAAAGAGTTTGTGAGGAGTCTCAGAGGTTTGAAAACCAACCAACCAAACCTAAGAGTGAGTTCATGATAGCGAAAGCCCAAAAGGTAGCTGGTGCCTTTCTGTCATACACCAGCTCTGCGGGAGAGACTGCAGTGTCAGACAACTCTGGGCCTCTCCGTACCTTAACCAGAGCCTTCATCTCCTAAAACACCCTATTTCCAGCATACCCTGGCGGCGACTGCTCAGAAAGCTTGCCCAGGAACGCCCTGCGACTTAACGGCTGAGAAGCCACAGTACACCTCCCGGCGGGCAGGCGGCAGCTGGCGGCTCCCAGCACCACCAGAGAACCCCCGCAGCCGGCGGAACAGGCCGGGGCGGGGCGCGGCGCGGGGGGGCGGTTCTGATAGCTCCGTTCCGCCCCGCGGGGCGGGGAACGCGGCGGACGGCTTGCAGGGGCTGCGCTTTGTCGGGGGTTAGAGGCTGGTGGGCCCCTCAGTCTTCCTCCGCCCTGCCCCGTCCTCCCTTCCCCGCCGCCGCTCGGGAGCTTCAGGCGAGCGCTGCCTGGCCATGATGCTGCCCGCAGCCGGCCCCAACCCCGCGCAGACTTGCGCGGCCGTGCTCGTCGCCGCCGTGCTCCTGCAGTCCGTCTGTGTGGCCGTCACCTTCCTCTACTTCACCAACGAGCTCAAACAGGTCGGTGGGGACAGGCGACTGGGGGGGACCCCGCTCTCTCCCTTTCTGTCTGGTCAAGGAAAGGAAAGACACAAAAGCGTGTCCCCGCTCTGTGCAGGAGCCGGCGCAGGGCCATGGGATTGGAGCCGCCGGCAGCCTCCAAGTGTTTGTTCAGAGCAGAGCTGACAGACAAAGAGCTTCGCGCGGCGTGAGCCAGCTCTTTGTGCAGGCTTTCCTCGGGCCCGGGGGTGCACGCAGGGGAAGAACAGTTTAAAAGTTTTTGCTTTTTAAGTAGCGCATTTTTGCAGGGAAGTAGCAAATGTGCCCTTTATCAGAGCGCCAAATCTGCTACGGCATCCCCCTGTGCTGCAGAGACGTTGGTAGCGTTGGGAGGACAACAGCGGCCTCCATCAGATGCATATTCATGTGGGCAACAGGGACAAAACGACTAAGAAAAGCTGAGGTACCTTTTAAATGCCTTCTTTAGGAAAAATACATAGTTTTAAGTCAGTGACTAACCCCAAAGGAACTTGACCCAAGCAGCATACACCACTGAATTCCTCCGAATGAGTTGTAGTGCCCGTTGTATAGTTTAGATGCCTCGGTCTCCTTGCAGCCATCCTTCAAGCCTGCTAACTACCACTTAACCCTTTCCTATTCCTGCAAAAGATCATTTGCATTCCAAGAAATCTATATTTACTTTATAGCCCCATGAGCCTTTAATGTGTGTGCTCCTGCTTTTCATTAACCCCTAGTCCTCAAGGTTTCCTTGAGTGTCTTGCCAAAAATTCACTGTCTTGCTGTGGTTTGGGTTGGAAGGGACCTTAAAGATCCTTTAGTTCCAACCCCGCCGTGTACTGTAGTTACACAACTTCAGAAAGTATCACACAAATGTAAAATATTATGTTACCTGTGAGTTTATTTATTTAATAGGTGCAGTTTTCTGCGATGTTGGAGTGCTCTGTGGAGCAAATGTTAAAGGGTATGCCTCATATTGTAGAATACAGCAATGCTCGTACTTTGGAAATGTCCAAAATGGATTTTCCTGCTGAGTTTATAGCTGTGGCTGTCCCATATTTGGTGAAATGGGGGAGTCATAGAAATGCTTTGATTTTACAAAATCAGATTATATAATACTGCTAATGGAGAAAATATATAAATGCACTCTCAACAGTTTGTTCATATGGTTCAAAGTCCTTTGCTTAACAAGCTTGCCAATCTTAAGTAATTGGTAACCACGGTTATCTTTACTTTCCTGGTATTCAAACACATACACCTGGGACACAACCACATCTCGTGATACTTGCCCAAAATACAGCTGGTTCTGAATAAGCCTGCATTTAGTGTGAAAGCTAAATCTGCCCCCCCCCCCCCCCCCAAGTTCTGCCGGGCTACTATGGGCTACTAAGTAAAGTTGCTGGCTCTGGAGGGGGTACCTTAAGCACATACTCTCCTGACTGTGCCATCTGGTGCACAATGAACAAGGAAAAAGCTTATCTAGAAACAGTCTCCTACCCAAAACAACATGGTGCATTTGGAATAAATCTCAAAAGTCAAACTGCGATTTTTGTGTGGCCATTTTTCTTCCCTTTGTTGTTCACAATATTTGCATTCCTACACCTTCACCAAATTGCTGTGGCTGAAGAGACAGCAGATATTTTTATCTTTGCAAACAGAATAATGTAGAACTATCAGGTATTTTTTCCTCATAGTAATCTGGGTATAGCTACAAATACAACATTTGTTTAACCATTTTGCTTTGGGAGGAAGTGCTGAGACAACGAGCACAATAAAGTTCATTATGCTTCAGGATACAGGGCTGCAAGAAAAATATCCTTAGACTTCCTTCTGTTTTGAAAACGTAGTTCACACACTACTAGAATAGAAGGTTTACAAGATAGCATTCCTGCAAGACTTGCATCCTCAGACTTCAGTGGTACAGACAAAACCTCATTTTTGAGGTCTTACAGTACCCTGATGCCTGGCTTTCTCTACCTGCACGACAGAAATACCAGTCCTTCAGTACCACATGGTGCTGGTACAAGGTTGCATTCATTCACGAAGGTTTCAAAATGCATGCAAAATGCTGTTCCAGTGCCAGGATAGTAAGTCTGTTTTGTGGGAAAAGTATTCAGGTAAGAAGGCAGAGGTCCAGAACTGTTTGCTTCCAGATGGGAGGCAAAGCTCAGAGGTGAGCTGTAGCAAATATGATAGGAAAATAAAAAGTAACATCTCAACTGCTCAAGTATGTTTGGGGTTTTTATAACTCTTCAAACTACTTTATTATAGAACTACAGTTAAATGTCAGAGCCCTTAGTTGTAAGTGCGGTTTTACCCTAAGAAGAACGTAATTTTAATCATCCTGAGTTCTTGAAACGAGAAAACTGATGTAAGAATATACTCAGCAAAGACAGAGAAACCTTCACAAACACTCTTCGTGGTGGCCTCATTTCACTCTGATGCCTACAGAATCATTTCGAGTAATAGATGAAGCTTGGAGAATCTGCTGCAGCAAACCAAAGGTGCTGTTCAGCCACAAAGGACTTGCAGGGTAGTATGGGTCAATTAACCTCATCCTTCTGGAGTGGGAAATCTCTCACTGAATGCCTTTGTTTTCTAACAGGCAGGAAAAGCATGGAGTGTGAAGGAGGAAGTGACTCCATTTGTTGCTTTCAATACCTGTCTCAAGGACAGCTGAAACTGGTACTTGCAGAATAAATGTACCTGTTTCGCAAACCAGACCAAACGCCTTTAACATGAGAAGAGTGAAATGTAAATGTTACAACCAGAAGTCCATCTAAATGCTTTGCATGCTTGTTGCCAATTGCTGTTCATTCCAGGCTCCTGTAGTGCAGTCCTGGCACAAGAAGCCTTACCAGTCTATAGCTGATGCAGCAGCTGCTGCTGGGTTCAAAGCAGACAGGAGCTGATCTCTGCTGGCTGCAGCGCTGGTTTTGTGCTTGTAGGTTAAACAGCGCCAGCTGGAGTTACATGTGAGGCTGCAGAGCTTGGAAAATGCTTCCTGCTATGATGCAAACTCTCCCAGTCAGATTCCCATGGAGTCAACATGTGTTTTGCACTCTTCAAACTGATTTATCAGAAAAGAATCTGTTTTGTCTGTGACTAGAGGATGTAGACATAGGCCCATATCACAAGTACTCAGTATTTTATTTGGACCCAGATGTCATTTCTGTTGTCTGGACTTTGTTCTGAACTATTAGATCAAATACAGTTTCGGAGATACCCCAAACTGGATATGGGGAGGATATGGTATGGATATATAACAGCAAAAGCCTGGATTGTAAATGGCATTGGCTAAAACATCAGAATAGAAAATACTGCTAAGGTCTGGTTTTCATCCTCAGTAATTTGTGAAGAAAAATCCCTTGTGCAAATACATGTTTTCTAGAGCAACTAAAGAACTCACAACATTAGTGATTTGGATGTTGAAATTTCACAGAGCTTATTTAGATGTGCGCTGGATACCAGATTTATGTCCATGGAGATAATGTAAGTATGTTTTTGTGTATTAGATATGCCATCTAGTTAAATAATTATATAAAATCAAGATGAATTACTTGTGCTGTTTATATAGTCATAACTTGCACCATACTAACAAATGCTTGAAAGAAAAAAAAGCATGTCCCTAAGGGTAATAAATTTAGTGACATACCACAGCTGAACACCTGCAGGCCCATCACAGGTGAAAACTGCTGGCTTTCCCTTCTGCTGCAGCTCCAGGACACATACTCGAAGAGCAACGTTGCTTGTCTTACTGGGGAGGAAATCGGAGATTTCATCCAAAAGTTGGATCTAGTTGAAAGTGAAGACAAAGTGGCTGATCCCTGCTGGCAAGTAAAGTGGCACCTGGGAAAATTAATTAAAAAGGTATTTGGGAACCGAAGCACTGAAACAGTGTGCTTGGTGATACTGCAGTTCAAAGAAGCCTAATAGCAGAATAAAGGTGGGAGGTCTTGGGTTGTTTTACTGCAGAGCAATTGTCAAGCCACAGCATTCAGCTGCAGAGTGCTTGCACTGAAGCCAAAATGACCCATGACAGTGGTTTCACTGCATTCAGGAGAACAAAACAAAGACAATAGTTTTTCACTACATAAATTTCAGTGATAGGTTGGCTTGTCTGAAATACCTCAGAAGTGTTTGACTTGAGCTTGTTTTGTATCTGACCATACAGATCATAGTGCTAGCAGAGGTGTCAGTCCCTCTTTGGAAATACATGGAAACTGGCATGAGAAAATGAGATGAAATGTAACACAGGGAGAGGTAAAAAAGTGCTTGAGGAATGGTCTAGTCATGAGCTCTGTAATGGCAAAGAAAAAGCAAGCAAGCACACAGCATCAAGCACAGCACCTTCCCAGCTCAGCATTCTGAGAACACCATCTCCTGCACTATTTGCACATAATACATATAATTTTGGCTACAGAGAAGACAATAAGACTGGCTGAAAAATCAGAAAGGCTAAAATCTTCTGTAGTGGTTTTCAAAATCCCATATCCAGCACATAAAAAAGCTCATCCATAAAAATTTCAGTTTATGGCTGAAACTTACCTAGCACATCTTGCAGACCAAAATAGGTCCTCTTATTATATTCAAGAGATCTCGGCTCCTTCAGTGGAAATTCTATCAGTGATGTCCCTGAACTTTGCGTAAAGAAAACATTGTTTTGTTTGGTGAACATTTAGACATCTGGTATACCTACTTGCTCCCTGATGGCTTAAAAAAAGCCTGAGTGCCAGAAATCATAAATTATAATAATAGTTATAATAATATGACAGCAAGGGAAGGTAAAGGAAAGGAGGGGAAGGGAAGGCAGAACCCATCAGTAAGTGGCAGTACAAGGCCCATGTTAGTCACCCAGATAAATCATGGCAGATAATCAGCATGCTTGCTGCAGCTACACCACTGTCGGTGATCAAACCCGTTTGGTTCAGCGGTCAGCAAACAGAAAAAAGAGGAACACACAAAGATATGCTGGCTTAAGACCTTACATAGGGGTATAAAAAGAAATGAAATTTTATTTCTCAGAGCTAAGATCACACAGAAGTCCACACTGCCACGTAGTCTACAAATGGAAGCTGGTGCTTGTACACTGCATCTCTTATCTGAGGAAAGCATGATGGTCAAATTTTCCAATAAACTTAAAGCCCAGATGGCTGAGCTATCTTGAAAATGTTTTCCTATGTATTTCATTACATAAAAGATGTAAACATAGTAATACTTTATTGCAACAAATTAATAGGCCTTTTTTATTTGCTTGTTGATCAAATCCAGAATACCCCTTTGTTTATGAATTGAGATAGGAGTCTTTTTCCTGAACCCATCGGTTTCTGAACTAATTTGTTTTCTCTGTTTGTTGGCAGATGATGTCAAGCAGCTATGAGGAAAACATATCTGCAGTTAATGGTATTATTTTTATTATCTGTGGCAAAAAGTTGCAGCTTGTGGCACCTGATATGTAGTGACTCAATTTATAAAAAGTGCAGAAAACACTGAAGATCGTGTACTGGCAGTGATGATTAGCGGTTAGAGCAAGGTAACCAAGGGGGATGCCGGAGGCTCAGCTTCTAGACGTCAGTCCCGCAGTGTTATGGGACTGTTTAAACAGTCTGCTCTCCTGGAAACAATCAGCACTGGACTGCTGTACACATAGATCAGCTAAGGAATAGCTTTGCTGAAGATTGTACAGCCCTAAACACGTTGAGCAAAAGCATCACAACCTCCAAGTAGAAATTTGATGTAAAGATTATGAGTGCTTAACCATTAAAAATGCTGATTGTGAATGTGAAAATTTGGTACTATGGGTTATTTTGTCTATCAGTAATTTTGGGGCTGGGGAGGAGCAAAAGGAGAACAAAGAGACATATAAAGACATTTCAAGGAGAGCAAGAGCAGAAGAGAAATTTGGGCCATATTAGTCAATGTACAGCATTCAGTGTATGATTTAGTCAATTGAAAAAATGACATATCTATTCCTTAAAATTGGGTCTAATGGGACAGAGGTCTTTTCTAAAATTCTTGCTTCTAACATGAGGTTCCTTTTCTCATCTTTCTGTAGCTGAAAGAGCCATGACACTGCCGCACAATGACAGGCAGCAGCCACTCGGCCCCATCAACAGGATCGCGGCACATCTGACAGGCAACAGCAATAGGAAGAGTTCCCTGTCACCACGCAGTAAGAAAAAACCTTTAAAAACAGTTAAAGATCACAGAAATTACACTCTCATTGCGAGCCTCGTGCTTATATACCCTTTTTAGTACTTGCATTGAGTTAATAGTAAGAAACAGATCATTAAAGTCCTCTTGTCCCAGACAGTAGTTTTTTACTGTCTTACAGAACAGGAGAAAGCCTGTTCTCTCTGGGTACCTCCCTAACCTTTCTTCTTGAACCTTCATTAGAGGGGAAAAAAATTATCCTTCTTCCTAATGTTAAGTTTTCCTTTTTTCTCTCCTTTAATTTCCTTCTGTTAGTTGTGTGAATCCCAGCTGCTATGGTGACAGACCTATTAGAAATGCGAGACAGAGACAGGAGGGACTTGACATTCAGGCCATATTAATGAAAGGCTTGGTAGGGTTTCTGCAGCTTTGGAGGGTATCAGACACAAATGGATCTTTTAACTTTGTTACTTAGTACCAGCATAATGATTTTTCTTCTATTTGTGGGTCACAAAAATTATAAATAAAGGTAGTCCATGTGAATTCCCACATAGAGCTAAACAGCTAGCTTCTGGACTTTCAGATTGTTTTGAGAATTGGACTAAGGAACCACTGGGAAGAGCAGATTTCCCTAGTTTGTTATTAAAAACTGGACACCCCAACTAGCAGACACCTGGCTTCACTATCTGGCATGTAATTTAACATTTTCTGTCTTTCTTTCTCAAGTAGATTCCGTGGCCAGAAAAGGGAGCGGACAAAAAATAAGCAACTGGGAATCATCAAGGAAAGGCCATTCTTTCCTTTACAACGTGGAGCTGAGAAATGGCGAGTTAGTAATACCCCAAACAGGCTTTTATTACATCTACTCACAAATTTATTTTCGTTTCCGTGAAAACGAGAATGAGGATTCAGATTTTTTGGCACAAATCAGGAATCCCAAGCAGCTTGTGCAATATGTTTACAAACTGACAAATTACCCAGAACCCATTATGCTCATGAAAAGTGCGAGAACAAGCTGCTGGTCTAAAAAGGCGGAATATGGACTTTATTCCATCTACCAAGGTGGAGTGTTTCAGCTGAAAAAAGAAGACAGGATTTTTGTCTCTGTCAGTAATGGTGATATAGTTGACATGGACAAAGAAGCAAGTTTTTTTGGAGCCTTTCTGATTGGTTAAACGGTGAAAATCATGCTCTGAAGGAGCCATTTTTCTGTGTCAGGATCAGCTTAAAATTCTCTAAACCAGGGAATAATAAGCAAGCACTGTAGCAATAACAACAATACCAGACTCCCCTTTCTTAGCTCACTCATTGCAAAGTCTGAGCATGCCAAATACTCTCCCACCAGACAGGAAGGAGCAGCCGCAGGAGATGGTGCTGTTTTGGCAGGCTCCACTGCCTAGCCAGGCTGGGAACATGCAAGGATGTCACACCACAGATAATACCTTTGGCCAGAACCCCGGGCAGGTAGGTGCTCACCACCACCTCCGCAGAAGTGCTCCACGCCAGCTCAGTCACAGCAGGTGGGATGGAGGATGCTCCAGGTCTAGTTACTCAAGGGTGAGACTGGGCATCAAATTTTATTTGTGGTCTCTGTTGGGATACCATCTTGAATATCTCAGCTCTGGTAAGAAGCCTTTGTAAGTACTGCTTCCCAGATGCCTCTGTAATTACTCTGGAAGTTTTTGTTTGAACCTGAGTTTTACAAAAGTTGAAAGTCCATCAGAAATGCAAAGTGCACACCTTCATCTCATCTAACCACTTAAGCACCTAATCAGTTTTAAGTACATGAGCAGTAGCGACTAAATCAGGGTATTTACATGCTTGTAATTAAATATGTGCTTAAGCAGTTTTCAGAATCATGGCTTGAGTAAACACATTAGCCTGTCTTAATCAGGATATTGTACATAAAACAAGCTGCTGAAATGGCACAGAAGAGGTTTTGAAATCAATCAGTATTTTGATCAGCACATTACAATAGTGCCTATTTACTTAATTGCTGTGCTGCAAAGATTTCACCAGGCTTCCAATAGGTTCAGTAATGTACTTGCTGTTGCACTTGTTGACAGCAAGTACTTGATCCAGGAAAAAAAAAGGTGTTTTTCTGTAAATATTGAATTTTATTAGACATTTGCCACAAATTAAGCATGACATGGTTCTTCCACATTTATTTGTACTGGTTTGTATTTGGTAATACGTAATGCAGTATAACACACCCTGATTACTAATATTTTGCCGAAAACAAACAGAACTATCTATACTTAAACAAGAGCTGCATATTTAGGTAACGCTCTTTTGATTTTATTTTATTTTTAGGAATGGGTGGAAAATTTTCATGGTTTTTTTTATAACCATTATTTTTTTAAGAAATGGCACTATTTTTTAACTCTGTGAGTCAGAATATTTTATATAAAAAAATAAAGGAAAAAAAAGATTTGCAAGTGTAAGCTGTGGACTAGGTGCACAGAAGTTAAGTAGCATAAATCAGCACATGCACGGCATTGCCAGTGAAGTGATACCACTTTGCATTTTGCCCAGACTCAGAGAAAACTGGGGAAAAAAAAGAGGTGAAAGTGTAAAAAAAAAAAAAATAAAAAATTGAGGGAGAGGGAGTCAGTTGTTCTGCAAAAGTTACTTTACATCAACAGAATGATGCCAGGAAAAAGTCTGGTTGTCTATTTTTTTAATACACAAAGGTTGCCGTGGGAACCCTGACATTCACCTCCACATTCTGATAATTAAATCACTGTACAGCCTTTGCATACGAGCCTTATGAGTAAACATGCATCGTTCATCTTGCTACTTTGTCAACAAGAGAATATGAATAGACAGAAGCCCCTGAGTTAATTTTGTCATTGAGAAAAGCAAGTACATCAGTTCACTTAAATACCTGTGTTGAGCAGCAATAGAAGAATTTCAGGAATAACTCTCTTTATGACAGGTTAAGTAACACACTGCCGTAAGCCTAAAATGATGAGGTTTGACTTTGCCTACTGTTCTAACATAGCATCATGGATACTGTGTTCAGTGGTAATCAACTATGTGAAATTCTTCATCTTTTACTGGAACACTTCAGTTTGACTCATTCTCAAATCGTGTTTCAACAGAGAACAAAATATTTCTACTGTTTTCCTCCTGATTCCAGCATGCCTGCCCTGAAAAAGCTGGGAAGAACAAAGCCATTCTCTGCATATCTGGATGTCTGCTCTGTTCATGACTTTTGTAAGTTCTCCTTGCAAACAGATCAGGCTTTTTGATCTCAGCACAGGATTGACCCACGTTATCATTTTTGAGGCGGTTTTTAGCAATTTATTGTATTAAAAAGTTGATTTGATTTTTAAATGTTAATTTAGGTGCTTATTTGAAAGAAATTGTATTTGAACTGTGAAAAAGTATTTTGGATTTACTGGTGGCAGCTTCGACCTAGAAACCCTCCCTATGGCTAAGACCAGTTTGTGTAACATAGGAGTTGTGCCTGCTAGAAAGGACTGGAAGGAAACCAGTGGGGACTCTACGAACTTGCAGCTGATGCTAAGACAAACTGTCTATTACACATAGATTTTTTTGCTCCATCTTCTTTCCTCAACTCTTGGTATATAACACCATGCCTGCTGTTGCTTGGGGAATGCTCTGTGGTATTGCCTTCCTTTTTTATCTAAATATATGTATTATTGGTCTCTGCCTGCAGAGCGTATCGCAGTAGGAATCACACCAAATAATCCCATTTTATTTCTGAACAATCAAAAGGCATGCTTGCCTTATCCTGGGGAGAGGTGATCAAGCAATATCATACAGGACACATTTGAAGATGAGTGGAAAGATACAGCAACTTCCGTGTACATTTGCACCCTGAATCATACTTTTCATCTCACTTTATGTTGAATGGCGAATGTAGCAAATTTTTATTTGTGGATGTAGGTTGTGGTAATGTGTACAGATTGTAATTTTTCTACATGCATTTTATATAAAACATTTTTATTAAAAAGTTACTTAGTCTTGCAGTATTATTGGTATTATCCTATGGCTTCTATAACAATGCTGTCTGAAATAATTTCTCTGAGATTGGTTGGTATCAGTTATAACCCCTAAATGCCACAAACGGTTGCAATGCAAAGGGTGTAATGCAAACTACTGAGCAATGCCATACTGTGTAATGCCATATGAGCAGCTTCCAGACCCTAGTTAGTGAGCACCATCTGGAAACAGTATACTGAAGAAATCACTGAAAATGATCTCATGACCAGAGACTACAAAATGCCAAGCACTTCCCTTCAGGTTCTTTTCATATGCTGGGCTTTGGCCATTATTTAAGTGAGAAATCTGTTTATTTGGGAAACATCTGATCCTTGTCTATTACCAAGCTACAGTAAAAGACACATGGAATTCAGAGGGACAAGGACTACTTATACAGATGTTGTAAAGCAGCTGTGAACTTGAAAACAAATGCAATCCCTGCCCCAAAAGCAAGTGCAGGATGTTGTTTGGTCTCTTCTAAAATTTGCACAACTAAAAAAGCATACAAAACCCAAGTGAACCCTGGAAACTCATCAAGAGATGAAGACACCATCCAACCTGAGCCCCAGCCCTCAAGTGGGAGAGGGGGTGGTTTCATCCTGCTTGTGCAGAGAAGGGCTATGGCTGAAGCAGCAGCAACATGGCACTGTAGGGAAACCACTTGCTTTTGGGGCACAAGCCTCCAGGAACATTGCCTCCACCTTAGTCACCACAAGGGCTATTTCATCTCTGTGTGTCTTCTTTTGACATTACCTTCTCTTCGCAGTCCCCACTGTATTATTATACTCACTGTACTGGTCTCTGGAAGACCCCCACATCACTGTTACACACACTGAACATCTATGTGATTAACAAAAGGAGTAACTCCCTAATGGACTCATAAGCTAAAGAAATACATTTAGCCCAGTGCTTGTGTTAGGCTTTATTTGGAAGAGATGGGCATGCCTCAAGCCTCAGTAATCAGACGTGTAGGTCTGTGTATGTATGTGTCTCTCCCCATCCATGCCAAACTCCACTGCAACCAGTATGCCATGCCTAGGGTTGAGCAGCCTCAAATTGCAGGGATGCCCGCAGGTTTTCAAAAGAAATTATTCCTTTCCTACAGACTGCTTTTATTTTAGCAAAGGGTTTTCACTTTTCTGGTGTTCCCATGGGAAAGAGGACATGCCAAATTAACTGGCTTTTATTGTACCTTCCATTACTTCATGGAAATGGACTTCTATTTTTTGCCTCTCTTTGCCTTAGTAAATATAATTATTATTGTTTGTATTGCAGCAGTATTCACTGCCTACTCAGGATCAGGGATGCATTTGCTGTAATCCATGCAAACAGTTAAAAAGCCTGATTCATACACTGAGGTTTTGAAATTCATCATTTTAGTTGTCAGATTGCATCTAAATATTAGGTTCTAAGAAAAGACTGAATGCAATGATCAATATGGCATAAATAGGCACAGTGAGACAAGATCTCGTTCATCCCTCCAAGGCACCTTGTATTATTCAGTAGCAGAAATGGAAGATGAATTAGGATATTGTTGGGTCTGATCCAATTTTCACAGGTTGGGTTTGGGTTTGGTTTTTTTTATGTAGAATTACATGGAAGTTTACGTCAGTTTTCATCAGAATTTTCCAAAACTTGGTTCTCCATACTTTTCTCTAGTAACAAACTGAATTGCATGCTATATCGTATGTTAAAAATCCTGTTAAAAATCTGCTTGCCAGGATACCACAGTTAACTGCCTGACCACTACATCACTATTGCTTTGTAATACCACACCTCTTCCTGAGACTTTCATAATCCAAACGTGTATAGACATTTCCATTAATTTCCTCTATAAGTCTTAAAAGTGACATTTTGTTGTGACACCAGGGCATGACAGAAATGCTGTCAAACTGCTTTGGTCTTGTCAGTGAGACAAGACTGCAACTTAGGGCAGAAGCCTGTTGGTTTAAGCAGGTCCCAGTTTCATGAGCACATCACTTATATAACACTCACAGCATCAGCAAACATTAGGAAATGCAAAGTTGTTCAAACTGCCTTTCAGAAACCAGCAATTTAAACACAATAGAATGCAAGGCACAAATTCCTTCTCAAGATACTTCCAATTGTAAATTCCTCAGTTCATATTATTCTCAATTATGGTTATTTAGCACATATAACTGCTGGGTGAAGGAAAAGTGGATTAACTGCAGATTTGCTGTTGAATTGAGCCAAGTTATCACTCCCCGTTTAACATGAGACAGAAGTATCAACAAGAAAGGATGGCTGAGAATAATTAACCATGCAATCCCATCCTGCATGTTCTGGCACTATCGGAACTCAAATCATAAGGAATATTAATAAACACACGTAAGTCAGGTGAACATTTCCATCCAAAGCCAGGACAGCTTAATCAAAACTGGCAAATCTTTTGAGATCAAAAATATATGTCTGTCCAATGATACGGAAAAAAAAATTAAAGTTACAGGACACATCTACTACTCTGACGCTAGAAATTATTATTTAATAAAAACTTTGTACTTTCAACTCAGAGCAAACATACCTGTGACAAATTGTGCTGGTTTTGGCTGGGGTAGAGTTTACTTTCTTCATAGTAGCTGATATGGGGCTATATTTTAGATTTGTGATGGAAGCAGTGCTGATAATTCAGGGATGTTTCAGTCACTGCTGAGCAGTGCTTACACAGAGTCAAGGTCTTTGCTGCTCCTCACACATCCTTACGAGCGAGCAGGCTGGGGGTGCACAAGGATCTGGGAGGGGACACAGCTGGGACAGCTGACCCCAACTGACCCAAAGGCTATTCTGTACCATATGGCATCATGCTCAGCATGTAAAGCTGGGGAAGAAGGAGGAAGCAGGGGACGTTCGAAGCGATGGCATTTGTCTTCCCAAGTGACCATTAAGTGTGATGGAGCCCTGCTTTCATGGGAATGGCTGAACACCTGCTTGACCATGGGAAGTGGCGAATTAATTCCTTGATTTGCTTTGCTTGTATGCAGCTTTTGCTGTACCCTATTAAACTGTCTTTATCTCAGCCCATGTTTTGTCATTTTACTCTTTTGATTCTCTCCTCCATCCCACCAGAAAGGAGCGAGTGGCTGCACAGCGCTTACTTGCCAGCTGATGTTAAAACATGACACCAGTGAGCCATGTTCTCTCTCCAATTGGTGAACAAATTTAAAGAAGAGGGACATGAATGCCCAGGGCATGACCCAGGGGCACAGTGAGCTGAAGAATAGCGAAAACCCAAGTCTAAAGCAGATGCCTCTGAATTAGTGCCATTAAAGCACCGCTTTGCTGATAAATAAACTAACTCTGTTTTGAAGTCTGCTTGAAGATGTTTACTGCCACATAAACAACTATAAAGTGATTTGAGCACATTCTGGGTTTTACGGTATGAAGTTAGGTTACCATTATTTCGTCAACACTATTCACTGATGATAGTTGCAAAACCATAATCTTTGAAAGCATATACCAAATACCACCTTCTGTTCTTAAAATACACTTATAATAGAAGTCAAAACATCTTCTGCCCCTGAATATAACAAAAACTCCTGCATTTGGTTTTCTGTGAATTGTTGGAGGTGCGTCATTTTTAAATGGGAGCTCTCTCCCTTGAAGTCTGTTTTCCAGTTTCTTCATCTCTTCACAATAAAACCACAATCATTCTATATTCAAAGCCTTCAGATATTCCCATGACAACAAGCAATGATATAAACAAGAATTAAAGCTTCATTGGATGAGAAGAAAATGGAAAGAATGGAACAGAGGAGAGAGATTTCAAAACTCCATAAAAAGAAACTCTCTTCTACCTTCTCTTCAGTGCTCAACACAGCTTTAAAGGTACTGAAAGAAGCACCAGTATTTTAAAAGTTCCATGAAAGGTAAATGTCCATTATACTTTTAAAAATTATTTGTTAATGTATGTTTTGTTCACACATCCAGATAGTGGATAAAACTGAGCATAAAAAGTATTTAACTTCAGCCTCTTTCTGTTAATTTCTCTCACCCCAATAACATTAGCAATTTCAATCTTTTCTGCAGTTGTTAAGGCAGCATAAAAGTATTGTTCTTGCATCTGAGGGCTAATAAATAACTCTCTGGAGCCTAAAGCTATTTTCTTTCTCAGTTCTTATACCTTCTATCATTGCTATCTTCACCATTGTCCTTCAGCATATGCAAAGCAGAGCCAGGAACTCATTATCATAAAGTTTGTGAGATGTCAGTTCTTTATAATCACATCAAAATTTGGCCTACAATTGAAAAAAAAAAAAAAAAGAGAAAAAAATCAGAAAGAGTCATTAAACTGGAGCTGTTTTCCTTCTCCCTCAGATAACATTTTTTCTGGCTCTGACCCCATGAAGGAAGAGCAGCCAGAGAAGACTTTGACTCATGGTACCCTTCAAATAAGAAGGGGCTCAGTGTTGCTGGATTCAAAGCACAACTGCTTTCTGATCCCATGGGCTCGTCACTCAACACATCAAGCTCACAATGAATTAAGTGTTAAATCACTACATTATTAGCTCAATTTTTTCAGCATATATGTATCATGGTACCTCACTTTTTGCTACTTGATTTTGCTACACACATCAGTGTGTACAAATAATAAAAAGAAGGAAGCTTTCTCTTTCCCTGGGGAAAGGGAAATGGTCATTTTTTACAAGATACAGCTCAGCAAAACCTGAAAGAATTTCATTAGAATGAAGGATCCTCAGTACACAGAGAAGTCACATTTATACCTTCAGATCATTTTATCTGCTAAATACCAACATCCTGCAGTGAATATCACTGGCCTGAGAATTTGTCACAAAAAGAATCCCAAAGTGAAATAATCCCAAAGTGAAATAATTCTTTATAATAATACTAAGTATTTGGCAGTTTAAACAAAGAGACAGTTACTAGCTCCTTCATAACACGGTGCAATGTAATTTAAATTAGATTTGACACAACATTTTAGTATGAAATAACTGTAC